CTGGTCCGCGTTCACGGCTCGCTGATGGTGGTCACCTGGCTGGGGCTGGTCAGCGTGGCCATCGTCTTTGCACGGTACTTTAAGGACGCCTGGAGTGATCGGCTGCTCTGTGGCGTGAAGATTTGGTTTGCGGTGAGTTTTCTGTGATGACTTTCGTTTCTCAAAGTTTTATAATTTTTTAAATTTTCCGCAGTTCCACCGCACCCTCATGGTCCTCAGCGTCACCCTGATGGTCATTGCCCAGCTGTGCATCTTCTACTACGTGGGCGGGTATGTTCTGGTAAGTGTTTAAACGTTTTTTATGCAATTTCATAAGGATCTAAATTTTTCCTCCCATTTCCACCCCCCAGGGCGCCCACCAAATCGTCGGCTCCATCGCCTTCACCTTTGCGCTGCTCAACCCCGTGGGGGCGCTATTTCGACCGCACCCTGACGCCCCCAACCGGTGGCTCTTCAACTGGGGCCACTGGCTAGGAGGGAACGTGGGGCAGATCACCGCCGTGGCGGCCATACTGCTGGCCACCAAGCGGAACTTTGCCGGCCTTCCGGAGGCTGCCCTGTACGTGGTCATGGCGTGGATCGCCGTCCACGTCCTCATGCACGCCGTCTTTCAGTTTCACGCCAGCTGTATGGGCGGGTCTAGTAAGTTCACAGATTTAGAATTTATTTTTAATACTAACCTTTTCCCCTCATTTTCCCCAAAGCAGAAACCTCAGACATGGCCCTCCACGAGATGCACAACGGCGAGCAGAATGCCATGTACAATGGCAATAAGCGAAACGGAAATGGCGGTGGAGGTATCGTCGGAGGAAGATCTTCAGGCTTCAAGACCCTCCTCCTCGCCCTCTACGTCCTCCTCATCCTCGTCCTTACCATCACCTTAGTCACCATGATCTGCGCCCCCGAGAAGATGGCCTTCTTATAGAGAGGAAATGCCCGGTCCCACCTTCTTTCTTTTCTCTCTGATTCATTCAGGATTGAACTCCTCCTACGTTCTCTTAGTCTTCCTCCTTCTTCTTTATTTACTTATCTTTTTTAATGTTATGATAACTACTACAGTCACAACTTTATCTTTCTCCTTTCTCTACTTCAACAACGATGGCATTTGATGATGGTCACGATTTTTCAACACCAAATATGTTTATGATTAAAACTTACTAATAACTTCTCAGCATCATTATCTCTTATTCATCTTGCGAATATCACGATTGCTCATGCCGTAGGCTTTCAGCCGCTGTACGGTGACGTCGGTTCCGGGGGCTAGGGATCCGCCAGGTCCATTTGCTGGTTTTCCACTTCCTCTTTGCCTTTTGTTGGGCTGATGTTGTTGTTTGGATGATTGGTTTCGCTTTCGCTTTTTTGAGGTTTTGTTGGTGTTGCCGTTTGTGGGCGTTGTAGGTCCTTTGGTCTGTGGTCCTTTGACCACCACTGCCTTCTTCACCGGTGATGATTCAGCCTGTTTACCACCATGACCTTCATCAGGGTTCTTATTTGATGCGGAAGTTTCCTGATTACCATCATCATCAGCAGCAGCAGTGGTAGCGCCCTTGGCCGCCTTCTTCCTTCGCTTTTTGCCCCGCTTCTTTTTCGAACTTCCATTCGTCTCACCTTTTTCTGCTTTGGCTCCGTTCACGCCCTCTTTCTCCTTTAGCTCTTGAAGTTCACCACCTTCTTCATCACCCTCATCACCCTCCGCCTCTTCATCACCCTCCTTCTTCTCCTCATAGAGACTCTTCAGTATCTTCCGCTTCAGCTCCTCGTTGTTCTTCCGCTGGCCGTAGGCGCGCTTATCCCGGGCCTCCTCCTCGCCACTCCGGTACTGGGACATCTTCTTCAGCGAGCACCACTTGTTCAGCTCGCGGTCGTCCGCCCGGAGGATCTCCTCGTCCGTCAGGCCAAAGTCGTTCGGCTCCACCAGGCGATAGCGAAAGCGGGTGGCCACCTCGCCGCCGGCGATAATGTCCTCAAAGAGGCCAATGTCGTCGTCGGCCATGATGTCCCGCTGCGCCTTGATCTCCCGCTTGCTGCGCTTCTTTTTGGGCTTTTTGACCTGCGGTTTTTTGGAACCAAAAAGAGTGTCAGTAAAGAGGCTTCATAGAATTAGAAACTCCTTTGTTTACCTTTTCCATTTCATCGCCGTAGAGGTCATCGTCAATCTCCGGCACGTACTCAAAGGACGGCTTCGTCTCATCGGCGCCATTAATGTCATAGTACTCATCCCCAAAGAGAAGGTTCATCTTCTCGTCGTACTTTGCCCCGTCAAATTCATTCTCATCGTCGACGATGACGTTCAGATCGAGGTCCTTTACATCGAAAGAGGACGCCCCGGAAACAGCCTTCAGCTGGGCAATCTTCGCCTCGATCTCCTCGCGCTTCAGCCGCCGCAAGCGCTTCAGCTCAGCAGTCTTTTCCGCCTTCTTTCGCTCGCGAACTTCCGCTCGGTGGGACTTTTTGTCCTTTTCATTGATCGTATCGCGAATGGAGTCAATGGCTCGAGGGTAGCGCTTGATGACGGTCGCGTCCGGTTCCTCGTAGTGGTATTTGGCGATGGCCGGCTCTGAAGACTTTTGCTGTTCATCATCATCATCATCATCCTCTTCGTCTTCTTCACTGGAGTCATTATCATCAGCAGCAGCAACTTCGGCAGCTTTCTCAAAGCCACCGAAGTGGCTATTTGGTTCCGCCTTGAAGCGCCTCACTACAGAAGAGGTCAGCGTCGGATCGAGGTACCGCTTGTTTAGGATGTAGTCCTTGAGAAATTCGTCACCGGTGTCAGCTGATGCTTTCTTTTCAGATTTGCTCCAGATCTGCGAAATGAGCTGCTCCTTTTGCTGATCATCTTTCTTTTTTGCCGCTGGTTCAGTGGTCTTTTTTGATGGAGAGCCAGAGTTTTTGATGGAGAAGAGCTGATCATCATCATCATCGCTGAAGTTATTTTCTCCTCTGGCAATGTCCTTAATCTCCCGGCGAATGTTGTACAGCTCCTCGTAGTAGCCGCTTGGCTTTTCCGCCTCCTCATCACCCTCTGCATCACCACCACCACCGCCGAGCATCTGTTCATCCTCCTCGGTGACGCCCTTCTTCTCCTTGATCAGCTTCTGGTGGTAGTCCTGAAGGGTGAACTTCTTTTGGGCTGCTGCTGTTTTGCCCTTTTGAGGTGACTTTTTGGTAGCGCCTTCCTCTTTAGCAGAAGAATCCTCATCGTCATCATCACCTTTAGCAGCAGCAGCAAAGTCCTTGTCGTAAATCTCCGGCGCCTTGTTCTTTAGCGCCGAGTACACCTTCAGAAACTGCTCATCAAAGGGATCATCGTGCAGGGAGTCGTCATCGTCATCATCATCGCTGGACACATCGCTGTCCTCTTCGTCATCAACATCTTCACCATCATCACCACTATCATCATCACCGGAGCCTTCCACCTCCGAGGGCACATCAAGGTGGTCGCCGTACTTTTGCTTCAACTTCGAGAGCTCCTCTTTTCGCCGCCAGTCGTTGTACCGTTGCGCGTAGCTGTTGCCCACGTTCAGCACCTTGGCCGCCTGCAGCTCCTCATCCTCCTCTTCAGCAGCTTCTTCAACTTCATCATCATCGCTGGAATCGTCAAACAATTTGGCCTTTTGGGCGGTGAAAGAAGACATAATGATCGTTGGAGAATCTATCACCAAAACAAACCAAAAGTTCAACAAAAATCAAAACCACGTGGTGAGCAGCAAAACACGCAAAACACGCTCACAGATGTTCTGTGAAGGGGCGCTCAGCTCAGCAGCGGTGGCGGCGTGTTTAGAAAGTTCCGAACTTTCCCCTCTTTCAACAATGCGCAGTGGCGGCAGCTCTTATACTTTTCCCCGCCGCTCGCAGCTTCTTTCTACAGCAGCAGCAGCAGCAGCACTTTTGGAGTGCTTGTATTTTTGGTGCTGTTGCAGCCGAGTTTGAAGCCGATTTCGAAATTCCGAGCTTCAACTTTCTGAACTACTTCCTGAACCGACTGAAACCGAAGAAGAAGGTGACGACGGCAACATCCTCATCACCACCACCAACCTCATCACCCCACCACACCTGTCATCACCATGGGAGTTCCCGCCTTCTTCCGCTGGCTCTCTCGCAAGTACCCGTCCATCGTGGTGCAGGCCGACGACGGCACCGCCGGCCAGTACCACTTCGACAACCTCTACCTGGACATGAACGGCATCATCCACCCCTGTTCCCATCCGGAGAACAAGCCGCCACCGGCCAACGAGGAGGAGATGTTCCTCGCCATCTTCGAGTACGTCGAGGACATCCTCGCCATCGTCCGCCCGAAGAAGGTCCTCTACATGGCCGTCGACGGCGTCGCGCCGCGGGCGAAGATGAACCAGCAGCGCTCTCGGCGCTTCCGCGCCGCCCAGGAGGCCACTGAGAAGGCCATCGAGGTGCAGAAGGTGAAGGACTCGCTAGCGGAGCGCGGCATTGAGGTGAAGGAGAAGGAAAAGCGGGAGCACTTTGACTCGAACGTCATCACCCCCGGCACGGAGTTCATGATGAACCTGAGCGAGGCTCTTNGCCGCCCAGGAGGCCACTGAGAAGGCCATCGAGGTGCAGAAGGTGAAGGACTCGCTAGCGGAGCGCGGCATTGAGGTGAAGGAGAAGGAAAAGCGGGAGCACTTTGACTCGAACGTCATCACCCCCGGCACGGAGTTCATGATGAACCTGAGCGAGGCTCTTCGAGGGTGGATCGACCGCCGACTGAGCGAGGACTACGTCGACAAAGCGGGCATCTGGCCCAAGGACCTGGTGGTCATTCTCAGCGACGCCAGCGTGCCCGGCGAGGGCGAGCACAAGATCATGGACTACATTCGCAAGCAGAAAGCGGACTGCCTCTACAATCCCAACCTCTCCCATTGTCTCTACGGAGCTGACGCCGACCTCATCATGCTAGGGCTGGCCACCCACGAACCGAACTTCACCATCCTCCGCGAGGAGTTCAAACCGAACCAGCCCCGGCCGTGCGACCTCTGCGGCCAGATCGGCCACGAGCTGAAGGACTGCACCGGCGCGGAGCTCCCACCGGAGGACCTGCCCGTGCCCGCAAAGACGGACTTTATCTACATCCGCCTGAACGTCCTCCGGGAGTACCTGGAGAAGGAGTGCCAGAAGGGCAACGTCCGCCTCGACTTTGAGCGCTTCATCGACGACTACGTCTTCCTCTGCTTCTTCGTCGGCAATGACTTCCTCCCGCATCTGCCCTCGCTGGAGATTCGCGAGAACGCCATCGACCGCCTGAT